TTAAGTACATTGGGTATTGCTGAACGCACCGCCGGATATCTGCCACATACTTTAATGCAAAATGCCATAAATGGCATTGGCTACATTACCTGTGAACAATTCGCTAGTCAAATAGTTTTTAAGAATCTGCTGAAAACCCGGCAACGCGCCCTTCGCAACATTGCCAAGAAACAATAAATGGGAGCTAATTAGGGAATTGAATATAAGATTGAAATTTCTGTTTAATTTCAAGTGCATGCAGTGGACTGGGTTAATATTTAATTCTTAAAAAAGCAATGGCAAACAAATAACTTTGAAGTTGTTTTAAATGTCAAACTAAACCCATGCTAATTTAAGGTGTCGTATGCATTTTTAACGCTTTTCAAAACGTGTCATATTCAATTATAAATTAGATAATTTTTTTAGTTTAAAGTCAAATAAACATAAATACATACATGTTGTACATGTGTGTGTATATTGGAAATCAAGCAGTATCAAAATCTAAACGGACTTCGGCAAAATATTGCGGAGTATTTTTGGTGAATTTATGTGTATAATATATATTACACTATTCAGGTTTGTAAAAAGTTAAATCGACTTTAATTAATTTATAAATTTCCTTCTAAGCAGAATAAATGTGAAATCGGATGGAGATATAATGGGAGCTGTTTAAAGTCGTCAAACATTCAGGCTTTTATTTAAATACACAAACCGTTGAAATCTGTCTACTTCTAAAGGCTCTATTAGCCCAATTTTTTTTTAACGTATGTATGGTCATATTTTCCATATGTAAAAAATGCACATATCGTGTGATACATGGAAGACATTTCACTTGTAAAATCCATGAGTAAATTACATGCGTACATTTTCGACCACAGCGAAGCCTATTTTCATCGGAAAATATATATATATATATATATATATATATATATATATATATATATATATATATATATATATATATATATATATATATATATATACATATATATATATATATATAGATATATATATATATATATATATATAGTCTTTTCCAGAACTGCAAGAATGTAATAGTTTTTACTACTACAACCGATTTTCCCTTTATGATATCAAAAACTTATTGCAAAGCTAGTAGATTCTTGCAGGTTTTCGAACAGCCCAATAATTTAATCAATTTGTTATGTGAAAATATATAAAATTAAATTTGCCGAAAAGTTCATCCATAAGGTAAGGTTTTTTTTTTTAAATACCATATAATCACATTGAAATCAAAGGATATAAAAAGCATATGAAAGTGACAGCACATATGTAAACCCCATTCCATCTGATAATGCCTTAATTACAACATTCTTATTGTAGTAGGAGACACAGGACATTTGGCATATGATTTGACATACTGCAACCCATTAGGAATCTAGTAGTACGTTTAGATTTACGAAATCCTCTCGATCTCAAATGTCAATTCCATAGCGTATAAGCATGGTACATAAATACAGGTAGTCGCATCGACACAGCTGCTGGGACAATGAACTGTCAAATCGATTTTGGAATTGAAAATGTTGAATGAAAAATTATTAAAATTTGTAAAAATTGTTGAAAAGTTCATATTATAGTTGTGTTCCAGTACTTTTTAGTAGTAAAACTAGCAGAAGAGAGAACAGTTCGAAATGTCATTCTCATTTAGGTTTGCTCAAAAAATAAGGGAACGGAAAATTAGCAGAAATGCGATAAAATGTCAAAATTCAAAATTCCAAAAGTAAACAGCTTAAATCGGACTGGTGAAACCTTACTGAAAAGGGCGCCAACATTTAAAAAATGAGTATTGAAGACCATAAGTTAAAATTAATAATTTATAATAATAATTAATAATCTGATTCCTCATTCAGCCAGTCCTCTTCACTGCTGGAATCATCCAAAAGTGAATACATCAGTTGCTCCATATTTTCTCTTTTTGTTTTTTGCACGACAAATATTAGTTTTTCTTTAGTTTTCAAGTTGATTATTTTCTTTATTGAAATGTATCAATACATTTTTCAACCTTGTTAGCCCTGCCAATTAAATGTCAAATTTACAATATGCACATTTCTGCTCGGCCAAATTCATGTAGCTAAAACAAGCAGAAATGTGCACCACTCAGCGCCATTTTTTCTCGAGAGAGCTGCAAGTTTTGCTAGTTTTTGGAGTACGGGAACGCGTTGTAGCAGAATTAGTGCTAATTAGTACTAATTTGCAGGTTCTGGAACACAACTTATATTAACCTCTGATATGCGTCGTATAAAAAAATTAAAAAATACACTTATTTTTCATAAAACATTTTAAAAATTTTGACATATCAATGTTCCCAATCTTTGATGCATTTACCTATATCCTTCTACCATGCGTATAAGTTTAAATCATATCCACTCAACGCTTAGAATTGGCATTTGAAATCGAGTGGATTTAGTAGTCTAAATGTGTTGAAAATATCATATCAAAAATGCAGTTGAGATTCCATCGATCGTCTTCCTTGACTTGCAAGCTAAAAACTTCCGCTTTATTGTAAGAAGAACTACATATTGTAGCACTACACACATAAAAACAAAGCGATCTGCCAAACATTTACTAAATTTCTTTATTTACATCTAATATTTTGACGGGCTTCGCCGACACTTGTTCCCTGTAGAGTTATATCCATGGTACAATTTCAAAGGTAATCTCTACTATAGATTATAATTCTTTTATTTCATGTCCCTTCATTGTCAAATTTATATTTTGTAGTTCTTCCTTAAATACGGGCGTAAAGCTGGCAAGATTTTTCCTTTTATTTCAGACCAAATATTTTGTTACTTTCACGCCTTTTAGAGGGTATAAAAGTCAAAGCAGAATGTAATCTGAAACTTAACACTGAAATGTTAGTCTAATATGTCATGTAAGACTTATTTATGGAATGGTTGAATTTGTGAAGACAATATCACGTCTTGTTTGCTACAATACTGGTAAAAGTCTGTCATCCCTCATTTTAGTTGTATTGGCATTGTCAAAACAAATTGTCAGCGAAGTTTTCGTTTTAGTACACAATCCATATAGCAGTTATTGTGAACATTTTGGCAACATTTTTAGCTAGTAATTCTGTGGATTTGACCCCTAAAGGTGAACCTAAGGTAAAACCTTATTCGGGGCCTACACAAGAACTAAAATCACCGGAAACGCTTAGTAAAGATGAAGGGTTTGAAATCTTTATATTAATATGGTAAAGTCCAAGAACAGCTAAATAAACTTGGTATTCCATAAGTATGGAACGTAGAACCAAGGAAATTCAAAAATATAAGTTTATTTATTACAATTATAATATTACAATTTTTTTTCAAAATTATTAATTTGACATTTCATTGTCAAAATTTATGTTAATAATTCCATTATATATACACAAATTAAAGATGGGAACCTTTTTTCTATTTGACAAGGTAAATTACAGAAAATACCGAGATGGATATGCTTTTTTGAAATGACTTTACCTTCTTAATTTTACCATGCGAACATGCATAAGTCGGCTTAGAATGCAATTCAAAGGAGTAGTTTAACTTCGAATGAATTAGGAAAAATGCAACTCTGTACCCAAGTTTTTAATCATAAAACATTTGGTTGGGTTTATATTAGAATTTTTCATAAAATGTTGTATATTGGATGAAACCCACAAGATTTGAATGAAATGAAATACCACAGAATGGTATCCAAGGTGGTAGAATAATATTGTTTAAAATCGCAAAACTTATTACCTATTTCACTCGAACAATGCATTTTTGCTGCATTTGAACTTGAAATAGTTTCAAATTGTCAATATTTTTTTAAAATGATGTTCTATATATTTCAAAAGATTTATTTCGTTTTTACAACATGGTAGAATAATACAGGTAACAGCAAATGTTGCTGCACAACAAAAGTCAACAACAAGTGTCACAGTTATATGTCCAAAAATGTAACAAAAACAATTAATTTTCAATAAATTATTTTAATTTAAAAAATATACATTTTTGGAATTTGGATTATTACATTTATAATGACTATTAGTAGTCAAACAAGTGTTCACTTGTAACGGCAGTGAAATTTTTTATGAAATTATCATTTATAATTTACTAGCCGAACCCGGTGCGCTTAGCTACACCTTTTTATTTTATATGCATTATCGTATCATCGTATCATTATATCATATATCGAATATTTTTTGGTTTAAAAAAATAAAACAAACTCAACATTTAAAAAAACGTAATTGCTGTAATACTTTAATGCGTAAACAAACAAATAGCTCGGTGTACCAACGCGCGAATATGCCAGGAACAGCTGACTATGAGAAAAGCAGGAACATGCCAAATTTAGTCCGCATACATGAAGGGTTTGCCCGACTTCTGCCAATTTTGTGTATATTTTGAAAATGTATTTGGTTACGCTTTTTAATGCTGTGCCCATGGTACAATAAGGAGGTAGAACAGCTTCGTAAAACTACAGAAACACAGCTCTGAGGCTATGCCCGCTTCCTGTCAAATTTGAATGCAACAAGTTTATTTAATATTTATTTTATTTAATATTTTTTTATTTATTTTTATTTTTTTATTATTTAATATTTTTCCTCATTTTTAAAATCAATAAAACAGCGGAAGAAATGAATGAAATGCCTAGATCTTAACAGTTCTATCTTTCAATTCCATGAAAAAACTGGTGAATAGCTTTAATGCACGTCTCGCCATTTACGCGTCTTCCAGTCATTGTTTTTGAAAATATTCTGTTTTTATTTTTCAAAACAATAAATACATACACAAAATTAGCAGAAGTCGGGCACACTTCGAAAAAAATTGTAATCAGCTGGTAGCTTTACCTTACCTTTTTATTGTACCATGCTTATTATAATATATTGGATGATGCATTATTAACAAATTTTGTTGCTTTCAGTATTGCGTTTTTTAGTTTAATCAAAATGCTCATTCTTGTATTAGTTGCTATTGCTAGTGTAAAACAGCCTTGAGAACTCTTGCTTGATTTTCATATGCTACGTTTACGTTACGTTACGTTTTAAATGCTGGCTAACTCAATTTCATGTTTTATTACGCTTGGCAATACCACCAAGACGTCAAATAAGGAAATAAGAAACGTCAAAACAAAAAGAAGAAAAAAGAAAAATAATCTAAAAAACACGCAAAATTTTAGGTGAGTTGTGTGAGGAAACTGTTTGTTAATTCCTAAAAATAATAAAAAAAGAATTGAGTATGCAGTAAATAACTCCTAAAATTATCGGCAATAAATCTAAAGTATTTTTAAAGGAATTTACAAACTCACCATCGACAAAATTTTACAAACTTTTTCTGGAACTTACGTAATGTCTTGTGTTTCCTTTGCAGCACTTCATGGCCGGTAGTGTTGTTGCACGTCTGGCAAGAAAATACGGAGCTGTTATATTCTTCCCAACCGTCACCGTTACAACTATCTACGCCGACTGGTCTCACAAACAGCAGTGGAAGCGTGAACAAAAGGAAATTGCTAAAATCCAAGAGCTCTTGAAACACCAATAGATCAAAATGGTTTTGGGTCTTGATAAACGCTACGTTTGGGGTGTACTTCCCTTGCTTGGCTTCGCCATTGGTCACTTCCTGGATCAGAAGGAAACCGAGCGTATGACCAGATTCAGAGACAAAAGTGCTTTGTACGGTCGTCCCGAGGGTCGGGCACAGCCATCCTGGTAAAACAGCTCTGTGATGGATTAGAGTTTAAATTGTAAATTTATACGAAATAATCGAAAAAAGAGGTTTAAAATAAAAATAATGCGATCTGTCGCTTAGAAAGCTTTTTTTGTATTGACATTCGGTATTTAAATGGATTTAAAAAATTCATCAGAAGTTCACCTTTTTATAATGTAGCTTAATCCATTTGAGTAAACTCGGAACTATAGAATCTATAAATTAACGCAATTATATTTTTAGGATTTACAGGATGCGTCCCGCAAAAGGTTGTTTCCAAATAATATAAAGACCAGTAAAGAATGAAAAAAATAAATCGGGACCGATTATATGAAACCGTACACTACTGTATGTTTAGAAGTGGCTTTAGGCTTTTTTTGGATTTATTGCAAAGTAATCGTTCCAGTAAGATGGTTATTGATCGGTATTTAAATTTGGGTGAAACATACATGTGTGTGGGACCTATGTCTGAATCGTTTTCTCTCGTACCAAATTATAATTTCTATGATCGGACCTAAATCGCATGTTACAAACTTCGTATTATATAAAGAAAAAATACCAGGTTGAATCATTAACACCAAATCGGAGGGAAAGTATACGAACGTTATTTCTTATTAGCCAAAAATTGGCTGAGGTATTTTAATCTCAGGTAGTTCCAGCCACTCAATAATTCAATGAGCGTAATTGTCTCAGTACCACTGAAGAAAAACAGTGACATCAGAGAGTAACCAATAGGGAACATAAAAGTAAGACTCTTTGTTGTTTGATCCTGTTCTAGGCTTTATCTAATAACTTATATTTAATATCAGAGTGCATAGTACGGTCATTCTAAGTCGAGGCTCGCCAACTTGCAGCATTAATTCAACGCCTTGTGCTAAATTCCATATGGTTCAGGAAGACATTATACATTCTTTGCATAATAAATGTAAATTGGATTAAAATCTATATGACATCTGAGTTCAAATCTGAACCGATTATCGTCAAATAGGGTTTATTACTGGGCCGGAAAAATTAACAGTGCCAAATCAATGGAGCCAAAAATACAATTTGTACATTATTTACAAAAATGCTTGTGCTTAAATCGACAAATGCAGAAATATGGGTCCATTGTATGTTACAAACAATGTCACAGTCATAATACCATGTACCACGCGTGGTGTATGGTATATGAACACCTGGATGAAAACTAATTATATATAAAACCAGTAAAGTACAAAAGTCGCACGGGGTCAGCTTGTTGATTCCCTACACCACCTACAAACATCAAACTGGATAAAACAAATATATGAGAGCTATGGCTATATCTGTGTCTGATTTGACACATTTGGTGCACGTGAAATCGGATAACATATATATGTGAGCTATATCTAAATCTGAACCAATTTCCACAAAATTTGGCAGAAGTATTTCTGAGTTTCATCTGATATCCTGTACCAAATTTTGTACATATTTCGGCTGAGAGAATACCTAAATAGCAAGTCAGATGAAACATATACATGGAAGCTTTAACAAATTTGTCACAAAAAAAAGGAACTATGGGTCTATCTCGCCCCCTTCTCCATATTACAAACAAATACCCTGTACCAAAGTAGGACATAAAAACATATTTTAAAATTTATATGGACATCAACAACATTTGGCAATGAAAGCGGAACAAAAAATGCTTAATTTAGTCAAAGAACTTTAACATTTTAAAGGTTTAACTAGATTTTTCACCGATTTGGCTGTAACTTGTTTTCTGAGGGTGGAGCAATCATTTATGTCACGGCCAAAAATATCCTAAAACTCTTCTCAGTTTTCTTAAATATATGCCAGATTTTATCTTCATTGTACGAAAAAGATATTTCCACAGTTATTAGAAATCGATCTAATCTCGGCAAATCTTAGACCTGTAATGATTGTAGACTTAAACTAACTTTTTTTATTTAATCCCCACAGAATAGCACCCATCACTTATCTACCGCAAAAAATATGTTTGTTTACATATCTGTTATCTAGGTTGGTTTTTTTGAATAAATTTTATGCACATTCATTTATATGGCGGTCATATACATGTGACAATGTTGTATACTACACCTCTGCTCTACATATTGATGCGCATTTTTGTCTTATGTCTACATACTAAATAAAATAATAAAATGCGTTATATAAATGTGACTAGTCATTGTTAAAATTTGACTATTTTTTCCTTGGCTGATACACCAAATTGAACAATTCCCATAATTTAGGTATATTTTTGTTGGTTTTTATTCGATTGAACGCATTTTAATACTAGTTTAAAACATACATTAATATTTAGAAATATTACATACATATAAATTATAAATATCCTTTGTAATTATTAAATAAGTGCTGGAAATCAGGAGTTTAGGGGGAAATGAAATAAGGACGAAAAAGGGAGAAAAATAAATCACTTCAAAATCCACATTTATGCAATTACTTTCATGGCATGTGATTACTATTTAAGAGCTCGCAATGCCCAATGCAACACCACCTACGAAGGCAGTTAGGAAAATGTGCAAATCATTTATTTTTGGACCATTCTCGTCGCCAATGAGAGAGCTGTACCATTTCTTGGCCTTCTTTGTCTTGTTCCTGAGTAGCTCTTCGGCACGATCTAACTTGCGGTCCAATGACCTTTCGGCCTTGTCCACCCATGATTTTTCCTGGCCGGTAACAGCCTCCTCTACTTTATCGGTAACTTTGTCCAATTTTCGGCAAATCTTGGACCAATCGATTTCAATCACGCCCTCTTGATGTGCAATCTCCATGAGTATGATGCCACCGCCAATAGCAAAGGCGGCAAATTTGCCAACTTTCATTGTGGCAAAGCCAGTTGCCCATCCAGCAGCAGCTCCAATGCCAATTTGTGCATATGCCGATCTGGAGCTGATGTCGCCCAAGATGCCTCCCAAAAACTTAGATGCGTCATCGGACATTTTTTCAATGTTTTTATTTGTTTGGTTCTTCTGTGATTTCGCCCAATCGCTCATAATATGTATTAATGCAAAGCAAACAAACTTTTTCGCGTTCTTAACAAGTAATAACGATTTTTGCTTCCTTTTTAATGCAATTTATCGGAGAGAAAACGCAGGTGATCTAATAAATATGCAATTCTTTTCGTCTGAATATAGAGAACTGAGTTGAAGAAAAAATGTTTAACGGCGTGAATAACAAAGTGGTTTACAAAGTCGATGTGCGGGGACTAGGCTAACGCCGACAAAATGACTATTTGTTGGCCACCTCTCTCTTTCTTTAAAATTACCGCAACATTTAATTAAAACTAAAAAATTGATAAGTAATCTTGTTGAATTATTCAAAAATATAAGAATAAATATAATTCATACAACATTTTTTTTCTCCTAAATGTTTGTTTTCAGCGGTGTTAACAAGTATACGCTTAAGATCTTGCCAACTGAAGATGAGTAGCTTCCGGATACCTCAGAAATTGTTGATGCCATGTTCTATTTTTAAATGAATGTTACCAGATTTAAGTATTTGATAAGGCATATGACTTTTTTGGGCAATTTGGTATATAAGAAACTAGTTTTTTGGTCTAATCCAGAACTGCAAGAATGTAAAAGTTTTTACTACCAATATAAGGTGTGTCTGGTTACTTTTCCAGCGGGAATTGTCCAGCAACTTCTTTCTGAGAGAAAAGGTAGTTTTATTCTCTTTTGCAAGGAAAATGCGAAACGTAAACAGACGATATTCCTGCAGAAGCTTGCAACTAATCAGCTGATTTGTCAAAACAAACCAATTTGTCCCCATAAGGAGAATTAAAACAAAAGAAGCAATACCAATTTTACAAGTTTTTTAAATAAAAATGTTGGAAATAGTCTTTTATTTCCTTATTACATATTAATATTTACGTTTTCCACATTTTTTAAAGTTGTTCTCCAAAAACAATTAGTCTTTCAAATTCCAAAAAAAAAAAAAATATTTTCAAATTAAAAGCACAAAAATAAATAAACAAACAATAGAAAACATCTGATTAAATGTCGATAAATGAGAAGAAGAAGAGTTGCAAGTGATTGCAAGAAGAAATTTGTCCAGCACACTATCACTGAAAGAACTGTCAAAATTTCTCTCTCCAACCGCTCCCTTTTGCAGAACTTTCGGGTTAACAGACGACTTCCAGTAACAATTGTTACAAATTTTAGGGTAACCAGACACACCTATAGATTCTCGCAGGTTCTGGAACAGTGTTTTGTGTTTTTAAAAGCATTTCTTACATCTACTGTATATGGTATTTTTGGCTCCACTTTCCAAACAAATATAAATATTTGGACATGACTCAAGTTTTCGCAACGCTCCCTTTGAAAGTTAAAAACCCAAACTCTCGATAATAAAATGATATAAACAATTGGTTTACATAGATATTTCAAAACAATTTATTATAAATGTTTGCTTGTCGTCTAATAATTTATATTAAAAAATTATTAATCAGTTTATTTAATGTCTATATTAAACTATATCTTAAAATTATTGGAATTACTTCCAAATCACAAATCTTAATTGTTGTATTTTAATTCCTTGGAAGAACATATACCCATGGCAAGAGAGTAAGGGAGGGAGGGGAACAGTTTTCTATCAATGAGCACCACACTTTCAAAGTACAATCTGTTCCCGCATTCCAATGGGACCATGATGATTTGTTGGTGCCATTAGTGAACGTCGCATACGATTACGCTGCAGGGTGTTACGTTCACGTACCGATTGACGTATTTTGTGGCGAGGAGCCATGCTGCCTTCATTGCCGGCAGCATTCATTGCGGCCAACATCTCAAAAGCAGCCTTTTTATGTTCTTTGGTCCAAATGTTGGTCAAATCTGCAGTTTCACATTTCGAAAGAATGCGTTCTTCTTTCTGTGGCTGCGGGGCAAGACGTTCTTGGGCCGTTGTTACTTTTTCAATGATTAATGGTGCTGATGTTGGTGGCAGTGTTGATGGGGCAGATTTGTTGGTTTGATTATTGTTGGGCGCCATTGACTCCTTGTTATTGTTACGACTTAAACCGAATATCGAAAGAATCGATTTGCGTCGATTTGTGGTCGATGAACCAGCGGAAGTTGCAGAATTTGTGGTACTTGAACTTTCATTGGAGTCATCGCTGCCCTTACTCGATACACTGGTTTGCATTTGATTCGCACTGATGGCAGCCGATAGTTTACATGGCTTAGACTCAATGTCATAGGTAATGAACTTCTTGGGTGATTGAAATGTGACTTTACGTAATGCAGGAAAGGCTTTCGGGGCGGGCAGTGAAGCCAAGTTTAGTTTGGCCACTGTGGGTTCATGCAGTAAAGTGGTATCGGTGGGTTCGATAGTACAATATGTCTCATCGGGATTTACTGGTTTTCGGGGTGGTATTGGTGGTGGCAGTTCTGAGGCTGGTCTCATATCTGGCAGTGATATCCGTGATCTTTCATTAACACTGGATGGTCGTTGACTGGAATTTGTTTTGGCTATTTGATTTTCATTGAATGCCTTGTATTTTTCCATCAGACTTTGTTCGAAGGCTATCAGGCGTTTTTCTTTTTCATTAAGTTGCTGTTCCCTGGAATTGAGAGCTTCTTCTCTTTGTCGAAGCAAAGATTCCTGGGCACGAATTGCATGTAGTCTTTCCTGCAGAACTCCATCGAATATATCTCTTGTCAACACATCTGGGGATAGGCCAACGCAATGTTCTTCTTGGGGAAAATATCGGGGCTTTATTGTCTCATCTATTGTGGCATATTCTTCACGTCGTATAGTCTCATACAGCTCTGGATCGGACAGTTGTAATTTGGGATTAATGGGAAATATTCTACGTTTGGCTGAATAGAATAACTCCTCTCGCAGATCAGGTGTAAAAACACCCGTTATACTCAAACGTCGTTGACCATAACCTTCGTGGAAACTATTCTGCTCGGAATAGACAGTGCTGGAGAAATCACGCAGAGGGCTATATTCCAATTTACAGCGAACATCGCGTTCGTCTGTGGTCACATAAAAATCTTGCTCCACACTCTCAATGTCGATCAAGCGGGGGAATTGGTTACCCAAATCATTGATGTTACGTACCAGAATTGGATGTCTGGATATAACTTCAATGCTGGGTCGCTGTTCATATTCCACCTCCAGCATAAAGGCAATAATCTCTTGCAGATCTTTGGAATAGATTTCGGGAATTTTACTGAACTTTCCATTTGAAATATTTGCAGAAAGTTGGGTAAATTCTCTGCCTTTAAATGGAGGACGCAGAGCACACATTTCATAGACCAAACATCCCACAGCCCATACATCCGATTTGCGATCGTATTTTGAACCCTTCACCATTTCCGGGCTCATGTAGTAGGGTGTGCCAACAAAGGTTTCCGCAAAAGATTCGTTGCGCTTCAGCATACGGGCCAATCCAAAATCTCCCAATTTCACATTGCCCTCCAGGTCGAGGAAAATATTGGCTGGTTTTATGTCGCGATGCAAAATTGTGCCTTCTTTGATTTTATTGTGGCACACCTGCAGGGCCCGACACAGCTGAAATAGAACTCTCCAAATATAACGCTCCTCGAAACGTTTATTCTCAGCCTTGGCTTTGGCTATGAGCTGCGACAAATCGCCACCTTCACAGCATTCCATAACAATGAATATGGATTTGGCCTCATGATTGACCAAATGATGATAGTATTGAACAATGTTGGGATGTTGCAATTGCCGTAGCACACGTATTTCCGAAACAAGCGACTCTTTTTGCGATTCACTTAGCTCATCGTAGTCCATGCCTTTCCAGGCAAACAACTCGCCCGTTTCCTTGTCACGCACCTTAAAACATGTTCCGAAGGCACCGTTGCCAATTACCGATATAACTTCATAGTCTTGTAATGTTTTCTTGGCAAACTGAGAACTGATATCCAAGTCATGGGAGGAGGATGATGATGAGGTTTTCATTTTTTCGACACTCATTTTGTTCACATTTATTTTGTGCGCTCCATACAACCGTACCGTACAATCTCTAAAATTCAACTGATTTTGTAACCGGCACCAAGTGAAATGATTTGAGCCGATGCCGATGTCCAAGACAAAAATCTCTCTACCTGACGAGAGAGCACTCTTCATTGAAAGGAAATCTAAATCCCGGCTTGAAGCGGCGCACAGTAGGTGTGGGGATTTTGGTTACTCTTCTTCATTACACACTGGATATAGGCTTTCTCAGAAGGGTACAACACGCACACATACCAACATACTTAAATGTTTGTATACAATATTAACAACGATAAACAATGTTTGTCCACCACCACCACCGGCACCAAACAGGTATGGAAGCAGAGATTTGATCTCTTCGATGTTCAGAACAACCCAACAATGGGACAAAACAATTGTAGGTGTTTGTATGTTTGACTAACTATGACTATGTATGTAGCTAGCTGACTGACTGTTAGGCTCCATGTTGAGTTACCGGTTTCATGGCACTTTTCGCTCGGACTCTCTCTCTCTCTGTCTCTACGTGATGTATACAAATAAAAACCGTTGGATCTAATCTTCGACGTGATCAAGTCAGCACGCCTTCTATGGCATGGCTGTTGTTATTATTGTCTTGTACCTTTGTATAGAAAATCTTTAATTGGTTTGTATTGTTTTGAAATTTTAATTTTCCATTTTGTGATAAAGAAGAAAAAAAAAAAAAATAAACGGACTTGACCTTACTTTTGTGGCCTTACGTGTTAGATGCGCATAGATGAAAATAGGAAATTTTTTTCTGCAAATCCTTTGTGTGTCTCGACAGTTGCGTGAGAAAACTGATAAATACTATGATTACGGATAGTTTCCTCTTACATTGGTGTAACATGATATTGTTTGTTGTCTATCCGTATCCTTGGTAATTTCAGCACAATTGAAGGCCACAATCATCTTAAAAGATTTGAAGTTATACTGTTTTAAGGTTCGAAGGATTTTGGTCACAAAAAAGATTTAGAGGTTTCTTAGTTGGTATTTGTGTGACATAAGTTCGCATACTGTACACAAGTATTTAGAATTTAAAGGAAGTGGAGAATGTCGGCTACATTCTACGTGATAAGTCGACAAAGACTATTGTGCTTTAAGAGGGCGGTATATTGCAAAACACATTTTTTACGGTACAAAACTTCTCTTTCGGGTCATGCTATCAATGGTATAAGAAGAA